GTTAGTTCTTAAGACCGAGGTTATTGATACTGGATGAGGAAAGGGGATTGGGGAGGGGAGGGGTTGATGTTTTCTTTTCTCTTCAATCAACTCGTTGTCCAGGCCATGGCAATACCAATGTCTGGACCACCGGATATTTTGCTTGTACAATTCTGGATTAAAAAAGCTAATTGCAATCTCCCCGGCCGTGGTTAAAAAGCCACCTTCTTATCCCCTTGGAACATCTTCGGGATACAGTGTGAATAATTTTGACTGCATCCAATTTGTTCACAAAATGCCTGCTATTGACGAGATGACCGGGAACCGAGCTGCGAATACATCTAACCGTTCCTTTGTGTAGAGAGCCGGAGCACAGTGCTTAGCAATACGGTTTGATAATCGCCTGGTCGTATGTCCAATGTATTGCACACTACAAGTGCATGTGAAAATATACAAAACGAAGGAGTTGGATTGAAGAGGTAACTTATCTTTTATTTGCTTGGACATCAAGGGCTGACTGTTAGTGAAGATACACGGTTGAGCTGCAGGGAATGTTCTAGAGATCACTCTGGACAAACGTCCTTTGAGAAGTTTCAGGGCATCATCACCCTTAAACGGTACAGTAAGGAAAATGTTCTGGTGAGAAACGGTCGGGCTTTTGCTCGTTTCGATCTTCAAACGTATATGTTTATCATTGATAGCTTCCGGGTAACCATTTGACTGAAGTATGTCGTGAATAAGACGTATGTCGGACTGCATTGTATCCTCGCCGCAAGTCACACGTGCTAGGTAAGATAAACATCTGACCAGGTTGCGTTTATATTTCAGAGGGACAAAGCTACAAAAACGCGTATACTGTTCAACCCACGTTATTTTGCGGAAGACGCTTCTTTGGATGGCAGCGTCGTCTCGCTTTATTGATAACACATCTAAGAAGGGTAGCTATCAGCTCACCGAACATTAAGCAACGAACTTTCAAAATCTGTATCGACATCATCCACACGCTCATCGTTCAAACTTTTATTTGCACGTACCTCTTTTATATCGAAATTCTGTTTTGCCATATTTTGCACGTCTGTTTGTTGACGAAGTTTCCACAGAATTACGTGATTGCTTGCTTCATTGTGAAAGACTATGTCTACTAATTTTAGTTTCATTTCGTATGATTATGTTAATTTGCATCCACAAATGTAGTGTCACATTGCCCATCCGGGTTGTTAGGATCCTAAAACCCCGGATGTGCGAGCATTTCGTATGATTCCTCGTGAGTATAAGCATAATTAAAAGCATAGATCATTGGACAACGTTTGAATAGACAGTGAAGGACCTTGAAGAAAGAAATACAAATAGGAGCGCCATATCAGTAGTTACTTTTCTGCGGAGACTGAGTGCATAAATTGTTCACTAAGTTGAGAATTGGCTAAAGAATTTTTAGGTAACTCAAAAAGTCACCGAATTTGTTCAAATGGGTGCACTCAGGTGACTTTCGGTGACTATCTGGTGACGTAACAGTGACGCTCGTGTTGCATGGACACGGAGCGCACAGAACCCCTCAAGCCGCGCCTGGATCCGCGTAACACCACAAGTGCGCTTGCGATGTCCCGGGGAGAATTGATTCCGGATTGGATGACTAAGGTGAATCAGACAACTGTCGTCTGATCGATCAATCAGGGTATCAAGGACGCAATCTGATTGGTGCGCCAACGTCGTTCTCGTGCGCCCAATTCACCACGTATCGCGTCATGATCAGTAATACACACTGACTGTTGTTTCGTCTTTATAACAAGGAAACCGTGCTCAGGAATCACAAACAGTAATCAGCAGAGAATTAAGTTTACACAGGATGTGCTGAAACCTGTGATTTCTCTCATAATGGTTTGGTAACTGACCCCACTTGGTCCCTGTCTTAAGATTGTCATCGCTAACTCGGTGCTTCCGTCAAACCTAAACATAATGGTTTGGAATCTCGTCGGGCAAGAATTCCTGAGACAATTCGGGCGAATAGACAATGCACTACGATATGTCTAAGGAGCGTGGCTTATCAAGAATGCCAATCTTACGGGACCCGATGAAGGAGATAATTTGACATTGTTACCTCCTAGTTTGTTTTTGGCAGTCTCTTGGTTGAAGATGTATGGGAATACCCCGCCTTCTGTGAAAACCCAAAGACCATATCAATGATATATATATATATATATCGACAATTACGATGAAAATGTGGTCACAAACACACAGTGGATGGGTTGCATTTGGTCTGTCTCGTTAAATTTACTAACTAATGTGCCGATATTCTCAAAGGCCTGATACAATCACTGAACGAGAAACTAAAAGAAAAACAGAGCATGGATAGATAATCTATCATTTTCAGAAAATCCTGCGAAGTATATGATTGTCATTGTATACACAAGGAAGCTTAGAGAATGAAATCTTATTTTGTGCCGTTGCATATCTGGATAGAGAATAACCAGTATTGAGACACAACTCTTCGACCACGTGAAAGGGCTGGCTCTGGACACAATACAAACTGAGGCAGATCGTT